AGAAAGAAAGAAAGAAAGAAAGAAAGAAAGAAAGAAAGAAAGAAAGAAAGAAAGAGGAATGGAATGGAATAGAATAGAATATAGAATAACAGAGTTGGAAGGGACCTTGGAGGTCTTCTAGTCCAACCCCCTGCTTAGGCAGGAAACTCTACACCACAACAGACAAACGGTTATCCAACATCTTCTTAAAAACTTCCAGTGTTGTAGCATTCACAACTTCTGGAGGTAAGTTCTTCCATGGAATAACTTTTTCTACTTCTTCTTAGTTTAGTTTTTTTTTTAAAATTCAGCTAATGGGAGTAACCGAGTTTATCTAAACATCAACTAGGCATGGTTTTTGTTCAGAAATATCTCCCAGTTCCAAGCATTTCATGGATACATCAGTACTATGTACTATCAAGAAGAGAAGGAAGAATTGGGGCAAATAAAGTTCAATATATATGTAGCAAAATAGTTTAAGAGAGATTTATAAATAAGTCTAATATTAATATTACCAAGTGGCAGAGTGAGTTTAGATTTTTATACCCAAGACTTGTGTAGTATAATGAGCTATGTTTGACAGGCTCTTTCAACACTCACCTTATCCTTGGCAAAGCTGAAGAGCAGTTTGCGCTCAGTAATGAACTGGACAGCTATTACGCTGTCTGAATGGCCTGTCAGGATTCCAGCAGGTTTTGATGTGACATAAGGATTCCAAAGGCAGACGGAGCAATTAATTCCTGCAGTTGCTGTTCAGAGTCATAAAGTTGAAATACGGGGTTTTACAAAACGGTTCCAAGGTGTAACTAATGAGTATTATCAGTGTACAAATATCTGATCCAGAGATTCAAGCGAGCTGTGATTTGATCAAATCTCCCAATTAAATTGACTTTCTTACCTGAATTGTCACATTGATTCAAATGTTGAACTGATGCCGCTGATTAGATTTAGTGATCTAACACTTTGTAATGCATGCCATGTCTTTTCCCCTCCTAATTGATTATATGATTCAGCTCTGTTCAGTTTGACAGTTGGTGCCTTTGGCATATTGGTAAGAAGATAGACACATTCTGATTCTAGTAATTTCCCCAATCTGGTATGCATTCCAGGGGACAAGGTTGGGAAAAGCTGCCTTTTATCTCTTTTCTGCTTTCTTTCCAGTTATTTCCTTTTATAACATTAATAACCTGCTAGCCCAGAGTAAAATTCTCCCCCCCTCCCTCCTCTCCCTCTCCCTCCTGCCCCCTCTCTCTCTCACACACACCTCTTCCAAAAACCTCTTGAGCATTCTTTAAGGCAGTGTTGGTGAACCTTTTTGGCACTGAGTGCCGAAACGGGAGTGTGCCCGCACACACGAGCAAGTGCTGGAAACCAGAAGAGCAGCTTCCTGCCAGTATGCACGGGAGCACCAGAAACTGGAAGAGCAGTTCCCTGAAGCTGAGCTTCCAGTTTCTGGCATGCATGCCTGTACAAAGACCAGCTGGCTCAGCTTCCTGGCATATGCATGCTCTTCCAGTTTCCAGCACTTCCACATATGCAAAGACCAGCCAGCTGGAACGCAGAAGAGCAACAGGTAACAGCTGGCATGCCTGGAGAGATGGCTCTGCATGCTACTTCTGGCACATGTGCCATAGGTTTGCCATCACAGCTTTAGGCCATTGTCTTTATAATGTCCACCTAGTCTTTCCATCTAGCCCAGTGGTTCCCAAACTTGGCAACTTTAAGACTTGTGGACTTCAACTCCCAGAGCTGGCTGGAGAATTCTGGGAGTTGAAGTCCACAAGTCTTAANGCTCTTCATCTTGATGATGTGCAAACAGGCGGGAGGAGGGAGCTGGAACCGGTGTTAAATGGCACTGTAGATTTGTGGAACCTCTTCTATAGAAGAGGTTAGAACTGGCAGGAACCCACCCCTGTTAAGGCAGGACTTGAACTCACAGTCTCCTGCTTTTTAGCCTGGTAGCTTAACCATTAAACCAAACTGTTCTGGGTCTCTCCTTCACTTGGATCTTTCCTGATTGTTTCTTCCTTGTGAGTAAATATTCCAATCTAACCCATTTTTATAACTATGATAACTGAGTCATCTCTTTTAGTTTAAACAATAAAACAAAGCAATAGTTTTATAAGCAATAGCACTTAGACTTATATGCCGCTTTACAGTGCTTTACTGCCGCCTCTAAGCAGTTTACAGTGGTTTGCAGAGTCAGCATATGGCCCCCCACAATCTGGGTCCTCATTTTACCAACCTTGTGAGGATGGATGGCTGAGTCAGCCTTGAGCCTGGTAAGATTCAATCTGCCAAACTGCTAGCAGCTGATGATCAGCAGAAGTAGCCTGCAGGACTACACTCTAACACTGCGCCACCATGGCTCACACATACACACCATATTTTTCAGAGTATAAGACGCACTGGAGTATAAGATGCAGCAAGGTTTTGAAGAGGAAAAAGTTTTTAAAAAAGTTTTTGCACTCTGCAAACCTCCCAAAAAGGCCCGTTTTTTGTGAAAATGGGCCATTTTTTTTTTCAAAAGGGGCATGAATAACCCTTAGGCAGCTTGTAGAGTGTTCCTGGGAGGAGTGGGGGGGCAAAGATGAGCAAAAACAGCCTGTTTTTTGCAAAAATGGGCCCATTTTTTGGCCCCAAAAAGGGCTTGAATAGCCTTTAGGAAGCTTATAGAGTGCTGCTGGGGCCTAGGGGGCAAAAACGGGCTGTTTTTTGCTCATTTCTGCCCTCCCCAGCCTCCAGGAGCTCTCTGAAAGCCTTCTAAAAACTCTGCATGGCCATTTTGGTGAAGGGGGAGGAGTTTCAGGAGGCAAAAAAATGCTTTATTCAGTTTATAAGATGCACCCAGATTTTCAGCCTCTTTTTTGAGGGAAAAAGATGCGGCTTATACTCCGAAAAATATNGGAAAACCATAGCCTTGACTATACACACTTTTGTTGGCAGGGTGATGTCTCTGTTTTTCTAGACTTGCCATAGCTTTCTTCCTCAGGAGCAAATGTCTTTTAATTGTGATTATAGAAGTGGTTTAATCCCTTTAGAAATCCAATAGATATCCCCAGAAGAAAACTTTGAAATCAGCTAGAAGGAGCTACACTTCAATTTCAGCCTGTCTGTCACATTTGTGTCTGCTATGGATAACTAAAAGGTTCTGTCTTCCCATGTGAAAAAAGTCTCCTTCCTTCCAGCTTGTGAATACCTACAAAGTGATTTTTTAATATTCTAATGGAATAGATAGATGCAAATGAGAAGAGAGTCCCCATGTCATGAAGGGTTTGATGGCTCAATACCAGCACCTTGACTTGAACCCAGAAGCACACTGGTAACCATGCACTGAATTAATTAAGGCCATAACTGCCCTTGTAGCTTCATTTGGATCAGCTGAAGCTTTTGGACACACATCAAAGAAAACCCCATGTGCTGCAGATTGCAATAGTTCAATCTTCCAAGCAGGACTGAATGACCATGAGTTGAGCCTCTTGGTCAAGAATGGGCTCAATGGGTGCATAACATGTAGCTGTGTAAAGACCCTCCGAGCCACCGTTGCCACCTGCTCTTTGGGAATGAGTCCAAGTGGAACTTCAGACTGATCTTGTTAGGGTTGAGATGAAGCCAGACATTCCCCATACATTCCCCCACATTCTCCAAATGAGTCAAGTGCTTCACAGAATCACTCAGGTGGCCAAGGTTGTAGACATAAAGCTGGTATAATAAGCACACTGATGATACCTCTTCCTGAACTATAGGATGGTCACTAGAGGTCATCTAGAAGTGTGACCAATACTATCTTGGTCTCACACCAGGATCTGAATCTTGACTGGAAAGTAGACAGATAATCCATTTATTCCAGACTGGAGCTACCATGCAATTTCCTTCTCCAAAACCTTCTCCCAAAGGGAAAGTTGGATGAAAATTGCATTAAATAGTTAGGGCCAGATGAGACAGATTATCTCTTTTTCAAACCACCCCTCTCTCAAAGACGAATTCCCTACCACCTAAATACAACCACATGTCATCTCCTGGGAAGCCTTAGCCAAACCAGGAGGGACATGGATGCAACTCTGAACTATTTGTGAAGTTACAAATCTCTGAATTGAGGAGAGCAGCTAATCTTCTTTACTTCTGGAGACTTCCTGGACACATTAATGATGCTTTCTTGGATACCCTTGATGTAGTCTGTGATTGACTTCTACTGATATATTTTTAAAATAGCAATAGCTATTTAAAAACTTCATAGTGTAACCCAGGGGTGTCAAACTCGTGGCCCACAGGCCAGATGCATCACACGCTGGCCACAGCCACCCCCAGTTTAGTGAGGGTAGGAAACTTGTGATATGTCATGTGACAACAATGGGACATTGTGAGTTTGACACCCTCGGTGTATCCTAAGCTCTGGGACTTCCTGATAGCCTCTTATTCCATGGAATAACTTTTTCTACTTCTTCTTAGTTTAGTTTTTTTTTTAAATTCAGCTAATGGGAGTAACCGAGTTTATCTAAACATCAACTAGGCATGGTTTTTGTTCAGAAATATCTCCTAGTTCCAAG